GTATATTATCAAAAGGTCTCCCAGCTATCAGTTTCTCAGCTCCTCTATTTCATATTATATAACCTAATGTCCAATATGAGTACCGAGGTATTACAAGGTTCTTTGTTCCTGGAATAATACTCTCAACATTTGGACTCAGCTCTTTACGACCAACATAACTAAAAAGTGATCAATAAACTATTGATTTAAACTGTTACTAACACAAGGTCCCAGTCAGGATCATGACTGTTCACTTCTTGTAATGTTCTTTTAAGATTTGATTTAAAGTCAGGTTGGAAATCAATGTCACCTTCAAGTATTAGTACAGTCCTCATATCTTCAGTAATAATAAGTCAGTAATAATTCCTAATAGAGATATGAGAAATAATAATAATAACAATGATATACATGTACATGCAATATACTATATGTATGTTATTCATCTAATGAACATGTACATGTATATGCATTTACAACTAAAAGGGCATGCATAAAATTATTCTGTAATGAAACTTTTTTAACAAGAAATTAATTACTCAAATAATCATTGTGAAACCAATGCTTATCAATGATCCCATTGGTCATTATACTGTACTTTATCCAACAACTGCTTAAATAATCGATCGAAAAAAACATACTGTCATTCTTTTTCTTCTTATTATCATCAACAGTGGGTGTGGTACCAGTAGGTGTGGCAGCAGCCACTGGAGTGAGGAGAGGTACCGGGGGTTTATTGATACTTTGCTGATACTGATACTCTTGATCACACGGGAATGACATGATATCAGCATGATCACTGATTAGTGGACTGACCAATAAATCAGATAATAGATTACAATCAACCTATGAAAAAAAGGGAGAGAGAGAGAGAGGGAGGGAGGGAGGGAGGGAGAAAGAGAGATGTATATGTAAAATTACATGTACATGTACAATTAAAAGTGGTCAAACCTGTTGCACTAGTTGTTGAACTGGTTCATTAAACCTGAATACCATGTACTGTAATACCAGCAACAAACGACAACATGTCAATGGAGGAACAACATATCCTGACCTACATATCAGTAAAACTCAGTAAAACAAAGGCAAAAATTATACATGTAATTAAGGAACAGTTGCATGCTTCATTAAGTGACATGATCAAACATTCATGTTTTATCGTGTAATCAAAAATATGATTTTACTTTTAAGTTATGCATGTTTCCTGAAACATGATCATGAACTACAGTATGCAATATTATGAACCATAATATTGAACTATGAACTATACATGAACTATTCATTTAGAAATGCACCCAGGAAAAAACACATGCATGTTTGTGCATGTACACATGAACCTGCATGCTTAATGCATGTTTATAACATGTACTAGCCTCTTTCTGCATGTTTGTGAATTGTGACATAATGTTTCTGAGAAGACATTCTATACTTCAGAAACATGTCACAAACATACATGTACATGTACATGTACAGGTAAATGTTTAGGCACACATACATGTATGTAAATAACACTTACATGTTCATGTAATGCTTATAACCATACTGAATCAACTATGCACATAATAAACTAGCTAAAGCCAGAAGAATAGAAGAGAGCACATGTACATGTACATGTACATGTAAAATCAAAATGGCTCACTCTTTCTCTTCGGCCACTTTATTGACAGCTGCTACACACTTGAGTAGTAACTCCTTCCTAACACTATCAGAGAAACTACCCCACACCAACAACAATAACTGGAGATGAGTAACAGGTAGATCTGATAGAGGGATAAGGAAAGGAAATAAGTACATGTACATGTAAATAAGTAATGTAGGGTACATGTACATGTACAACTAGTAGTGTTTAATTATACAGTACATGTACATGTGTACCTTCTTCATGGTCATTTTCATTTGATGCATTTTCTTCAAGTGTAGACAAAAACCTAAAAGACACAAATGCATGTAACTAGTAAATTTCATTTATATTCTAGTAAAACAAAGTATATTCA